TTGTAAAGTTCGTTTTCGACATAACGACTTGTACATCTCATTGTTGCAATGGGTCCACCTGTATCCCTTTTTAAACAATTTGTTTTTTCCCTTCCCCTCCACAAATTATAACAATATCAAATACAGTGAAAACAGGGGTTATACCGTGGGGGAGGGACATTCGGCCCCTTTCTTGCTATAACTTTTATACTCATTGAAATACAACATCACACTTCATAATGTCAGAAAGAAGCTGAGTGATTTATATGCCTAAAAAGCTAGATTCTCTTTGTAAAGTTGTTATAGTTTTTCCCGCCTAAAAACAAGTTGATTGGGCTGGGAAGGTGGTTCAGTAGTAGAGTGCTTGCCTAGCCTTCGTGAGGCCCTGGGTTTGATTCCTCAGCACCACATAAGCAGAAAAAGCCAGAAGTGGCACTGTGGCTCAAGTGGTAGAGCACTAGCCTTGAGCTGAAGAGCTGAGGGACAGCGCCCTGGCCCAGAGTTCAGGCCTCATGACCAGCAAAAAAAAAAAAAAAAAAATTGATTATAAGATTCACATATAGAAAAATTGGATCAATAAGCTCCTTGAGCAAGTTGGTGTCAATTATGGCAGGTTTTTGTATACCTATACTATCATTTATTAATCACTATATGTAAATAAACATGTTATGCTACAGTTTTGTGGGGAAAAAACTCATTCTGCATATACTGTTCAGCTTACTTTATTCAGTATGTCTTCGAAGTCTTTCTATCTAAATATGTACTTTTTAAATCGAATGTAGAGTTACTCCATCATTTGTCTCCCTAGCACTGTATTCATTAACAGCTGGATCATGTCTCAGATCTTCCCATTACAACGTTTCATTGCACATTCCTACATCTATAGCTTTGCAATCTAGTTGAGTGCTTCTATAGTCAATTCCTAGATATGTTATCTGCGAGACAAAAGCTAAGAATATTTAAAATTTAGAAATTGCCAAATGGCTTTCTTTTATCTCATCAATGGTACCAACACTGGTATTATTCGTTTAAAATTTTCCTGATTGGCTGGTAAAAATATAGAAAGAAAAAAATAAACATAGAACTAGTTTATGACCCAGAAATCCAATCCTGGGCATTTATCCAATAGAGCACAGTGCTCCACTATAAGCCATCAGCACTACCATGTTTATCGCAGCCCTGTTCACCACAGCAAAAACCTGGAATCATCCCAGATGCCCCTCAATGGACAAATGGATCAAGAAACTGTTGGGGGGGGTTACTCACATAAAATGAGTTTTTCTTTTCTTTCTTTTGTGCTGGTACTGGGGTTTGAACTCATAGCCTCACATTCAGCTTGTTTGTTCATGGCTGGTGGGTGCTCAACCAGTCTGTTGGTTATTTTGGAGATAGAAACTACTGGACTAGCTTCAATCTGTGATCCTCCGGGTTTCAGCCTCTTCAGTAGCTAGGGTTACAGGTGTGAGCCACCAGGAACCCTGGATATAAAGTGGTTTACTCTTGACTTTAACTTTACATTTACTTAATTAGACAAGTCAATCAAAGGAACACAACTACAGGACAAACACAATCTGAATGGGTTCTCTTTCTGCATCAAAGCATCCGAAACTGCCTTGCCAACTGCTCTGAAGAAAGGATGGGTGAAGCTATGTAGTGGGACGTGAGATGACAGATGATGTGCTTCTAACGTCCTGCTTCCATTGCAGGCATGATCACACGATTGCGCCACCCGGTGTCAACCAAGGCCAACAAGGTTCCCGTCTCTGTGTCCCTGGGAAGTGGTATGGACATATATGTGACCTCTTAAACGCTGTATCTCACCCATTTTTAGTTTAAATACATATGGTTAACTGGGTAGTGGTGGCTCACGCCTTTAATCCTAGCTACTCAGGAGGTTGAGATCTGAGGATTTGTGTTTCAAAGCCAGTGCGGACAGGAAAGTCTGTGAGACTCTTATCTCCAATTAATCACCAGAAAACCAGAAATGGCACTGTGGCTCAAAGTGGTAGAGTGATAGCCTTGAGCAAAAGGAAACTCAGGGACAGCACCCAGACCCTGAGTTCAAACCCCACAATGGACAAAAAATAATAATGTAAGAGTGAAAGGAGGTCCCTGTTCAGATTAGACCACGGAAGGCTTCAACCCTAATGTATTTCTTCATTTGCTTGCAAAATGTTTCTGAACACCTAATTCTCTCATCTCCCCCAGTATTACAAAAATCATGGTCTGACTTATTAGATCCTACCATTGACTTCTCACACTCTTTTGCCTAGCCTTTATGTTCCTAGATTCTATGCCTGGTCAGTGGAGCTACCTTTCAAACTTCACGCGTTTGAGAGAATAACATCCACCAAGATGATGGTTTAGTTTGTTTTATAAAGGAATCTAACGGGATTTTGCCAGTCTCTTTTTGCCCTGTATTTGCACTGAGCATATTTTGGCATGGGCTTTCTCTGAGATGCCTCTGGCTGACCATGTGCTTCTGAGCCTTCTTGTTGATAAACTGGGACTGCTTTGAGAGCACTATTTCCTGCATTTATATAGTCATAAGACCACAACATGGATTATTTTTGTAGGGTTTTTTGGTGCCTATACTGAGGCTTGAGCCACACCCCCACTTCCTCATTGATGAGGGTTTTTTTTTTTGCTCTAAACTTAAAAAGCTGTGTTGTTCTTCATATAGTCATTGTGAAAAATCACATTCACTGAGAAACCGTTAGTACTAAGGCTTTCTCTGATCATCCTTAAGAGTGGATGCCTTGCCTTTCTAGGAATCTGGGAACTGAAAAGAGAAGAAATTACCCTATTGAAGGAACTGGGAAGTGGCCAGTTTGGAGTGGTCCAGTTGGGCAAGTGGAAGGGACAGTACGACGTGGCCGTTAAGATGATCAAGGAAGGCTCCATGTCCGAAGATGAATTCTTCCAGGAAGCTCAGACCATGATGTAAGTTTTTCCTAAGGAATGGCGGTTTGAGGATCACCATGGGAGAGCATTAGTACAAATAAGTCTGATCGTACCTTTTTTTTTTTTTTTTT